AATTCTGTGCTGCTTTACCCTTCCTAAGGCTTATCCAACCTCAGGCCTTGTCTATCCCCTTCATTTTGAAGCTGTTTATTGTAGCTGAGCTGAATTTCGCTGGTGTTATCTAAAAGATGGCAAGTGTCTTGCTGTGTGTAATTATTTTCAGGAACAGCCAGGCAAGACTTTAATTTCACTTGCTGAATGTGTCATCAGATGTTCGTTTCGGAGTTGCCATATTAGTGCATGTTTGCACAGGGCATTGGCATGTGGGAGCTGCCCAGGGCTTTGGGTGTAGCCCAGTTAATGGCACAGCTATTATTCAGAGAGAGAAGGATTAAGCTGAGCACTTGTTGGGGATCCAGTTGGGTTTTTCAGGTAAAATGACTGGGCCACTCCAGGTGTAGGTATCGAGGAAAGGGTGATGGGTGACAAGGTGCCCCATGGTGGGACAAAGGAGCTTAACTCAGGTTGGGCTGTCTTGGTGCATTGCTCAAGGAATCTTTGTCCAAAGCTCTTGGAGGAGAGTTTGAATCAGTGTGGTTGGACAGGGTCAGGAATTCAAGGGTAATTCAAGTTGGTTAGGAACTGCAGGGACAGGACAAGGAGGAATGGGGAGAAACTGAAAGGGGGAAATTGAGATTAGATGTGAGGAAGTTTTTCCCTGTGAGGGTGGTGAGACACTGGCACAGGTTGCCCAGGGGTGATGATGCCCCAACCCTGGCAATGTTCATTCCAGGTTGGCTAAAGCCTTGAACAACCTGCTCTGGTGGGAGGTGTCCCTGCCCAGGGCAGGGGGTTGGGGCTGGATCGTCTCCAAGCTCCATTCCAACTCCTGAACATTCTATGATCCTACTATGAAAAGGTGATAAAAATCCTGGTTTCATGAGTCCCTCATTTTTTCCTTACTTAAAATGCATACATACTTTTTTCTTCCTTTACCTGTTGGTTTGGTGGCTTTGTTATCTGTATATATAATAATATTTGGAGTAGTTAATTTCAGCTTAAGTTTCCTCTGTTGCCCTTATCCAAAGATGACAAATTCACAGAGTTTCATGGAAACAGAGATGTGTTAGGAGGTGTCAAGATGAGCTCCAGAGTTCCTAGATACTGCAGAACCCACGTGGGGAGGAGAGTTTTTACTTAGTTTGCACCTTCATTAAATCCCAGGGGCTCAGTCCATCAGCAGGACAAAAAAAAATCAAGTTATACTAATTTTTAGTGTATGGAATTAATTGTTCTGAGAGGAAGATGATCCATGAGCTCCTACAGTGTACTGAGAAGGAAAGAGCTGCTGGATTAGAGGGCACAGATTCTGCCTCTGTTCTTAGTTCTGTTTGAAATCTTAAACATATCTTTGAATCAACTGCAGATGGACTAAGAATTAGCTGAAGAACAAGAGGAAAAGATTTGTTGTCTTGTGAAGGAGTTGCAGAAGTGTAAAATAACTTGAAGTATTACTGTTGATATTAATACTGAGAAAAGTTCATTAAATTTCTGTTCTGTTCTTCTTTTCAGGTTTCCTCTCAAAAAACCTACAAGGTGAGTTTGTCTGTTTATTGCAATTCTAACTACAGGAATTTTGAAAGAGGAATGCTTTAAAAAGGATAAATATCTATACATACTAACCCAGCCAGCAGTGCCCAGTCCAGATGTGAAGAAATTCATACCCAGATGGGGCCAAGGTGCCAAAAATATAGTTGATTTTGTCCTCCAAGTGCTTGGCATAGTGTCACTTACCATTTGCATTGTTCCCTGCACTGGTGGCTCATCTTACCTGAGACCTGAGAGGTGCAGGGGAAAGTGACAGGTGATTCCCTTGGGGAGGGTGTCCTAAATCTTTAATGTTTGCATCCAAAGATGTTTTCATGTTTGTTGAATGAATTAAGATTTCAGGAGGTTTTGTTCAGTTTTCTATCGCTTGAATGGATTTGGCTTTTAAAGCCAACTCTGGTGTTGAGTGATAAAGAGGAAGATGCACTTCTCTTCCTGATTGTGAAGGTTAAGGCTGTTCCTAGACCTTTGGATTCAATCCCAAAGCCTCTGAGGGAGCTCATTTTCCCCCTCGCATTCAGCCTGGGCCATAAATATTTGAAGTGAACTTGATGCCTCCGTTGGGATCTCAATTTCTTCTGAGCCACCAGACCTAGGTGAGGTTGTTTCTGAGAGCCTGAGTGGCTGTGTGCTGAGGAGCTGTGCTTTGCTCTGCCACAGACACGGCAGCATCCTGAGCAGAGAGTCTCCAGCTGACAAGAAGCAGAAGGTTGAGCGTTGCAGCAGCACCCACGACTTCGACCCTACAGGTAAGAGCCTAAAACTCATAGGGAAAAACCTCCATGGCACCTGAAAAGCAGAATAAAAAGGGGTTTAAAGTGGCAACAAATGTGGTTTTCAGAGCTGTGTTGTTCTGCAAAGCCTTTTGGGGGCATTGACATCGGTCCAGGTTTGCTCTGAGATGTGTTCATCTCAAAACAAACCTGGGGTAGTGTGTCAGGAAATTCTAGTGAACCCTTTTCCACTGTCAGAAAAGGCAGCCTGGAATTGCAGGAGGCAAATAGTGGCATGAGTTGGGAGTTCTTGTGGCTGTTTTAGCTAAGTGTGAAATTGGAGCTGCTTAGGCTTAACTAGGGCTGATGAGGCTTAACTAGGTTGATATTCCTCATTGGGCTCTTAGTTTTTGGGATGTTTTTTGGTTCTGTTTTTCTGAGCCTGAGTAGATTCTCATCTCTCTGTCCCTTGTAAAGTGAATTGCTACTTTCCAACATGACATCTTTCAAGCTTAACTTCTATTTTTAAAAGGATATCCTCTCCTTTTTTTTTTTATTTTTAACCTTTCCAAAGGTTAAATTAGGGTTGATTTGCTCAGCTTGCCCAGTATTGTGGAAATTAGGGTGCACACAGGGATTCCTCATTCTGTCTGCAACACTAACCCAGTGACTCCTGTGTGTGTTCATCAAATGCATGACAGGCTCTTGTCTGAGCCTCCTGGCCCCATGCAATGTGCATTTCTCACATCTGTGCACTGTGCTCTTCAGTCCAGTCCTTTCCCTGGGGCTTGTGGAAGGCAGGAGAGGTGAATGAAGGCTGGTACAACTTGTAGGATGTGTTTTTTTCTCCCCAGACATTTGAGGCTGATGTTTATAAACCATCCTGTTAATGCTTTCTTGCCACCAGCTGCATGAGTCCTGCACAAAATCACTTCAAATGGGCTTTAAATGCCAGTTAAAAACATCCTGGAAGGGAGGAAAGCTGAATTAGTGCTTGTCTTCTTTCCCTTTGTCCTTGGGGTATGAGGTGCAGTTGTTTGGTGCTTTTTCTGATTTACCTTTGGGTCCTTTCAGCCATAAGTTGTGGGCTATGAGGATTTTTTGGGGTAAAGCTCTTGTCAAGAGCTTTAGCTAAAAAGGGGGAATAGGAAGTGTAACATTATTTCAGGTTGGGGAAGGTTTTGTGCTATGAACTTGATTTGTAGAGGGAATTTGAATGGTCATAAGGGAATGGCTGTAAGATGAGAGAGGGGACAGTCAGATTGGATGTCAGGAGAAATGTTTTCCCTGTCAGGGTGTTCAGGCACTGGAATTTTGCCCAGGGAGGTGGTGGAGTCACCATCCCTGGAGGTGTTTAAGAGGTGTCTAGATCTGGTGCTGGAAGTGTTAGGGTTTAGGGGTAACAGCAGTGGTAGATAATGGTTGGACTTGCTGATCTTAAAGGTCTCCTCCAACCTTGATTTGATGATTCAGCAAATTCAGGAATCTTCTAATCCAAATTTGCTGGAAGCCATTCCAGTTTGGACCTGGCACCAGTGTTCCCAGTGGGCTGGGCTGCTAGCTGAACCCTGACTGCAGCTTTCAGAAAACCCTTTCTCTCTAAGGGATGAGCTCAGGCTGCTCAACTCCTGTGCTTGCCTTGCTGACTTACTCTGGAGCTAAACACTCCCAGAGTTTCAGTGCTTGGGCTGGTTTTAATCCAGAATACTTCCTGTAGTTACTGCAGAGAAGCTCTTTGATTGTGTCTTAGCTCCTGTACCAGATTCTCTGTGGTGTTCCCTGTGTCTTCACACTCATACAATTCACCCCTCGTTACTCCCAGTGTTCCACCTCCGTCGTGTTCACATCTTATTTGTGTTTTGCACGATTTAACCTAATAAATCAGTCTGTGTTTTTCATGAAGTTTGTTGGTTTGTTTGTTTTTTTTCTCATGTTTGGTCTCCATATTTTCTATATCTCTTCTCTCCTTCTCTCCTGCTCTCGTGCAGATAGCTCCTCCAAGAAGACAAAGTCTAGTTCTGAGGAGAGTAGATCCGAGACGTATGGTAAGCTAAAGCAGCTGCTGCAGCTTTGCCCCTGGGCAGCTCTGCTCCTTGCCTTCTGTCTGTGCACCCCAGGCTTTTACCCTCCCCAGGGTCTGCATGGTTGGCTCTGCAGCAGGGACTGGGGAAACTGGGCTTTAATGTTGCTTCAGTGTTAGCAGCTTCTAGTTTCATAGTGGCTGGAAACTAACCTGGGCCTGGCAAGTCATCTAGTTTCTCTTGGGCTCTGCCAAGAGATCTGGTGCCACTGGGTGGTTCTGGACCTGGCAAGTCACCTGGATTCTCCTGGTCTCTCCCAAGAGATCTGGTGCCACTGGGTGGTTCTGGACCTGGCAAGTCACCTGGATTCTCCTGGTCTCTCCCAAGAGATCTGGTGCCACTGGATGGTTCAGGCACTGGGTGAGGATGCAGCTTGTGCTGGACACCACATGAGCTTTGTGGTTGTGGAAGAGCCTCTGTCTTGTTCTCACTGTGGAGGTTAGAGCAAGCAACTCATCTTTTTGCCTTGTTTGTAGTCAGCTCCTTTTCATGTTTCACAGAAGTGGAAAAATGTCTCTGTATATTTTTTATATATGTATCTCATGAGAAAATGTAAGACATGAACTTGCCCATTCCTTGGTCCAGAGGGGGTAAGTGGCCTGGAAGTCCTGTGTTGTGTATCACTGCTGTGTGGGAGCTTGTGGACAGGATAAATGGCACATAACAGTTTGGATGGGAGTGATCAACATCATGATGTTGTCCTTACACCACCATGGGCTTCTTTGCTCCTCCTCCTGCAGCTCACACCAGATCTCTCACTCTTGGGGCTGTGACACTCAGAGTTTCAGAGTTTGTTAAAGGGTTGGAATGGAGCTGAGAGACCATCCAGCCCCAACCCCCTGCCCTGGGCAGGGACACCTCCCACCAGAGCAGGTTGCTCAAGGCTCATCCAACCTGGCTGTGAACACTGCCAGGGTTGGGGCAGCCACAGCCTCCCTGGGGAACCTGGGACAGTGTCTCACCACCCACACAGGGAAAACTACTGCCTAATATCTCATCTAAATTTCCCTCTTTCCATTTCTCCCCATTCCCCCTTGTCCATTACTCTTCATCCTGCCTTTAGGGAATGACTGGTTCCATGTCCAGTCTCTAAAGATGCACTCATACCTTAGAAAACAAGGAGGTAATAACCTTTCAAAGTTGTTGGGTGACCTTTTTGGATCCTCCCAGACCTTGGAGCTGTGCTGGATCTGCCCAGCACTGCTGTATTCTATATTTCTCAGTGTGCATGTCTTGACCATGAGTTACCTTTCTTTTCCTTGCCTCTTTTTTTTTTTTTCCCTTTATGTTTAAAACACTCTGTGCTACTTTCTGATTTTAATCTGTTAATCAAATTGCTGCTGCATAACCTGCTGTGAGCTCTGGGACAGATGCAATGACTCTCCCAGTATCAGCTTTACCATTCCCCTGGAATAAATCTCCCAGGTGTTAGTGGCTGTGATCCAACTTTTTAACCCACCTGTGTAATACCAAGTGAATCTGTCACAGCTCTGCTGGAAGGAACACTGAAACAGAAAAGCAAAATAAACCCAAAAAACACTAAGCTGTTTCTAAACCAACATAGGCATGGTAGAAAAAGCCCTTTAGGTGCTGCAGTTTGAGGAGGTGTGTCCTGTTCCTTCTGTGAAAAAGATCTCTTAGCTCTCCCTGGAATTTTGAATCACACAGTTGTGTTGTGATTTTTTTTCAAGAAAAGTAATATGATAGTCATGTTCCTCAGGGTGTGAGTGTGTTCCTCAGGAGCTGTAAACAGGTTAGGAGTGCCTTGATTTGCTTCAGCAGAGCTGCAAACCTGTCTGAGGGAGACTTGGCTTGCTGCAGCTTGTCATTCCTGCCACACTCACAGGGAATGGAACAGCACAGCTTTGGGGATGAGGATGAACATTCTGTGATTCTGTAATGTGTTGTGAATCCACATGGATTTACCAGTTGAGTTATGGCCTTGGCAATAGGTGATGGAAGTTGTGATAGGAAAGGATGTAGTGATGGGAGAAGGAGTAATGGGGATGAATTGAAAGAGGGAAATTTAGGTTGGATATTAGGAGCAGCACAATTTATTGCAGGACCACTGAAATCCAAGTCTTGTGCTGTCTGTGATGCAGTTAAAGTTAAAATTACTGATTGCCAGTCCTAGAGTTTACATAGCTGAACCTTCGAAAGCTTTTAGCACTGATGTAGGCTTCCTTTCCAAGATCCTTATGGAAAGGTTTGCATGTCCCATCCCTGGAAGTGTTCCAGGCAAGGTTGGATGGGGCTTGGAGCAACCTGGGCTGGTGGGAGGTGTCCCTGCCCATGGCAGGGGGTGGGATGAGATGATTGCTAAGGTCCTTCCAAACCAAACCATTCTGAACCTTCGAAAGCTTTTAGCACTGATGTAGGCTTCCTTTCCAAGATCCTTATGGAAAGGTTTGCATGTCCCATCCCTGGAAGTGTTCCAGGCAAGGTTGGATGGGGCTTGGAGCAACCTGGGCTGGTGGGAGGTGTCCCTGCCCATGGCAGGGGGTGGGATGAGATGATTGCTAAGGTCCTTCCAAACCAAACCATTCTGGGATTCTATAATGTAATGTAGATGAACTCAAGAGGGAAATTGAGATTAGATATTAGGAAGAGGTTTTTCCCAGTGAGGGTGGTGAGACACTGGCCCAGGTTGCCCAGGGAGGCTGTGGTTGCCCCAACCCTGGCAGTGTTTCATTCCAGGTTAGATGAGCCTTGAGCAACCTGCTCTGGTGGGAGGTGTCCCTGCCCAGGGCAGGGGTTGGGGCTGGATGATCTCTCAGCTCCATCCCAACCCCTTCACACGCACTGTGATACTCTGATCTCTCCTCTCCCCTGGCCAGGGAGATGCTGCTTGTCAAGTTACCCAAATCCTGTGCTGAACCTGCACTAGCTCGTGCCTAGTGCTGCTCCCCCAGCATGTCCTGGAGGTGCTGTCAAGCTGCTGTAGGTTAATTACAGGAAACATTTGGTATGTTTGCTGGAATGTCTGTGTGTTTATACTTCTCCCCCAGTCTGTGCAGTGTCCTGGGGCTTCATGTATAGCAGAAAGAAACACAACTTCCTAACGTAAGCTTTGACTTCCCCAGAGTTTCCTGCAGATGCTCTCCCCACATCCAGTATCTGTGGGAGCAGTTTCCACTCATCCTTCCTTTCCAGTGGCCTTTGCAGTGTGGGCCCTTGCCCTGCCTTTTGTCTCTGCCCTCTGCTTTTTCCAGGTCCTGTGGTATGTGTGGAGAATTCTGCTGTTTGCTTTGGATGGGACCAAAGTATTCCAAACCCTACAAGTAGAAAGACTGTACTGATATTGTTCTTGCTGGTGACTGGATGTGTTGATCACTGGAAAGGGAAGCAGAGAGAGGTCTGGAATGGCAACAGGCATGGCAGGAGTGGCTTTGTGTGTGTGTTTGTTCTTACCTCTTGGAATTGTTAATGAAGGAGCAGGAGAGCAGAACTGAAGGGTATGAGAGGTTTGGGGGGGGGGCAGTGGTTAGAGAGGGAAGTGGTTCTAACACACAGAAGCTGATTTATAGTGACATAAGCTGATAGTGCCATTTTTTTTCTCCTGTCATAAATCGACTCCTATCTGTATATTCAACAAAACTGAGGTGATAGTGGAGACTGAGTGGAGTTTAATTAGTGCCATGAGCTCCCATGGTACTTAATACCTGTTTCTCAAAGCAGAATTTGCATCTCTTAATTCAACTGAAAGCTGAAATTAGCTTTCAGGGTGGTAGGTGAGACATCAGTTTCTCTTCCCTTTTTCCCATGACTTGGTTGCTCTCCAAAAATATCTTCCTTTATATTTAGTAATGAGCAGTTCCTGCACTAAATGTGAGCCTAGACTTTACTCATGACTCCCTCACATAATTTTCTCCAGGTTTGGGTTAAGCTTCTATATTTCTTTTTGTTTAGAAACCCCAATTTGTGGTGTTTTAAACAGAACTTGCTCTTCCTGGTTTGTTTCTTATACTTCTTATCAGCCTTTATATTGTGACCACCATTTTTTCAGGCTCTTAAAGGACTTTTTGGAAGCTTCTCATCATCACCCTTGGAGGAGCCAGGAAGGGCTGGGAGGGCAAGGAGAGCTGGACCACAGAGGTTGTTGCCATGGGAGCAGATATTTAGCATGGTTAAATCCATGATTCTTTTTCC